GAGGCAGACAGCTGGGACAAAAGGGAATACTATAAAACTGCCATAGCTTTCTTCTTTATGACCAAGTCAAAGATGTTAGTATCATTAATTTGTGATGTAGTTTCTCAGCCAGAGCAGGCTCATGATTCAAGCTAATTGAAAGCTAGCCTAACATCGAAAGGGAAGCCTCAACCTTACCCAACACATGGTCCTGCCAAGCCTCTGTAGCAACACTAGCAGCCACACAGTGAGAGCCTGACCAAAGGGATCCACCTTAAAGCTAACCATGAAAAACAACAAAATAACTCCAAACAACAAAAAACCTCACCTTGTTTTCAGAAGGGTCAAGGAATTAACCCAGCTCCCCACACATGCCAGCACTGACAGACACAAGAATGCTTGGGTAAGAGAAGGCAGGAGGGCCTGCATGTTTCAGCATCATCAGTCCTGCATCAGCTTGACCAGAAACATGAAAGATGAATAGAAAAACATGACAGAAGCATGTCAAAAGTGAAAACTCACCAAAGAGAAAAGCAGTTCTTTACCTGTTTCACTATGTGGTATTTAAATAGAATTCCCAACTACCTCTTTTCCAGGAAGCAGTGAACCCTGTTCATACAGTTACCAAACTACAGCTTAATATTGTCTTCTTTAGTTAAGCTTCCTATAATGATGGAAAAGAATTAAGCATGAATTAATCTGAAAACATATGAACACATGATTAAATGAAATTTAAAAGGATAATGAAATCAAAACCATCGGCAGGACAAGAATTACTACAAATGTAACATTAATGTGTGTTTTGGATGCGACTTCCAAACCAGGGTAACTATCAGCTCTCTAAAGGGGTGGCTCCTGCTCTCTTCATTCAAGTCCTGGCTATGTGCTCCTGCAACATTTTTTGTGTCACACTTGGCAACTGTGTGGGTACAGGATGAGTTGGTTCAGTGAACTGACATGCCGGAAAACTAATCCTCCAATAAAAAACAGAGAAACCTCACAAATAAATGGTTTTCTGCTTGGATGAAGTCAATGAACTAATTCATTCTTCACTGAAGAATCACTTGGCCCATTGTAACTAGAAAGGAAAGGAATATGTAGCTGGAACTAGAGGGGATGTGGACTGACCTTTTCAGTAGTAGCCTACCATTACAGCAGTTTAACTGTGTTATTATATATATACACACACAAAGAGTTCTATGCCAAGATTAGCACTTACATAGTGTGAATTGTGCAATTGTATTTCCCAGCATTTCCTTCTTCCCCTACCCAATCTGATATTACTTAACAATAAAATAAAGTATTTAAGATAACTACATTTCACATAAAGTCTTCTACTAATCTTTACAAATTGCTGCTAACTGAAGAAAGCTTTCATTCTGCCTTCCAAGACAGACACTATTCCAGCAGCACATACTCTAATGTTAAAGTCTCTTGTTAATTACAGCTAAATATATGTTTCAATCAAAAAACCAAAACCCTCTTCCCAGCATAAGCAAAATCCAATCAAATCATGCCATTTATGCTCTTAGAAGTTTTAGGAAAGAGAATTCTCTCATGTACTTGAAGTATGTTACAGGACACACATTATGAAGTCAGACACTTATGAAGATGAAATAGTCTGCTTTTATTTCTCTGTTGGGGATTTAAACAGCACCGGGCATAACACTAGCACTTTTTTCCTTGTGTAACTACGTGGGGGTTTTTGTTTGGTTGCTTTTTTAAGAGTAATACTCTGTTTGGAAAATAATCTTTATTTTTATATAATATTTTGCGTAATAGCAAGGCTCAGTGGAAACCCGAGATCTTTTTAATCAAGACAGGAGCTCCTACTCCCCACTTTTTTTTCTGACCTCACATGAACAGTAATTTCAAATTTTCACTTTAATATCATCATTAGCTTAACCTCCTTTGTGCTTTCCCTACAACTGCTTCCTCTCATAAATTCCTGCATAAAGCGATGTGGTTATCAATGAATACTCCATTGTTAGCACATTTTCAAATCCTCACAAGCCTCCAATAAGCCTTCCACCCATTTCCATTTCCACTGTTTCTTCAGATAACCCATTTCCAATTTTCCATTTTAGCTCTTTACATAATAATCTTCAAGAAAATGTCGTCATTGACAAAGATGACTAATCTCTCCAGAGCTCTTATATATTTCCCTGGGTTTCCTCTTTTGCCATGTTCCCAAAACTGTCTTCTTTTTCAAGATAAAACTATTCAAGATTACAAACATAGCTTGGCAAAACAGGAAACAATGGGTTTATGTTTAAACTTGTCATTAATCAGCCAGGCTATTCTTCCATCTTTTCCCTGAGACTTACAATTTGCCTATGTATTTTCAATACCTTGCTGTATTGTTTTATTAAGGGAGATTTCCCTTTCTCCAAAATTGCTGCCTGCAGGAATATTATTATAACCCAATTTTTAGATACGACCATAGAAACACCCTAATCTATTTCTAAATAGATTCTAGAAAGTAGAAAACTACAAATCGATATTTTCTTCTATTTTATTTCAGCTCTACACCTTAGAATTTATTAGTTCATGCTTAATGCTAATTTGATAGCCTGCCTAATCTTACAAGATGCATCACACAAGGCTTCAAATTGTTTCTCTCAGCAATTGATGCTAAGAGTTGTGCTTGTGAATATCTCAAAAGCAATCTAATTATGATCTTTGCTAAGATGCAGGACATAAGAATTTCATTTAATTATCTGGCTACATCCTTCAAAACTCTTGGTTTAAGCAAAGTCTATTTCAGAGATACAGAGAATAGCCTAAAAGGCACTGAAACAGCAAAGAATAAAGTGCTGAAGATAAGTGAAGGAACAGAGTTGCAGTGAGTGAATGAAATATGTATCAGGCTGACATAAAACTGATTCCAAGTAATGGGAAAGCATGCCATTGAGCCTGACTTGTCTTGACAGAGCTCAGGAATGAAAGCTTGACCCAAACCATAAACCAGCATAAAAGCAGCTTAAAAAAAAAGGGGGAGGGGGGGGAAGATTGTTAAGTCTTGACCAAGTCAATCACAGTGACATTCAGCAACACCGAAAACTGGCAAAGTCTCCATTAACATAGAGTCAACTACTTTTATAAAACACAGACAGGCCCTCAAAACCAAGGGTGTGAGCTGATTAAACGCTTAAAAGAACTTGCATGCAACATTATGAAATTATTCAAACCCAAACAACATACAGAGGAAAACAAAACATATGCCTCATTTTTAGCCCATGACAGAATACACTGGAGTATATCAACGGAAAGGTCTTCTGGGTGGTCTTTTGTGGTCTAGTTTAGAGTTCAAGCATACTCACTGCTAAACTGCATAGAGAAAAGTCCACAAGCAAAGTGCAGGCCCTTAGCCTTTACTCGTGGAGTGCCAAAAACTTGAAATGACCTCTCAGTGGCAATTAAACACTCCCCCAGTTTGGCAAGGCAATCAACTGGAGTATATGACAAATGCAGTACTAATGTGCCGTAGAAATTCTGGATCAACAAAACAGTCTGAAGTGAGTCCTTTAAGTTAGAGTGGTAGGAATTAAAATGATACTCCAAAACATTTGTGGAGGGGCCATTCACATCTTGTTACTTCTTCACATAAGAGATGATTTCTCAGGGATAACTTTATCTTATTTTCTCCTACCAAGTTACTACACCAACTGTTTCAGCAGTTCTATGCACACATATTGCACTTGTAAGTAAAACAAACTCCCAAGATTTCACTGTTGTTGAAGTTACAATCCCACTAATATTTTTTTCTTAACATAAGAGTGTTTAAAGCCCCTTTTTAAACAACAAGGAGTTCCCATAGATCAAGCTCAATTTTTGAAATAGCTAAGCTAAAGTTTATAACACTGTCTTTTTCATTCACCTTCTCCTTACTCTCTTAGCATCATGTGAAAGAAACTAAAGAAAACATCGCCTCTTTTATTTGATGGAAAGATTAAAACCACCAAATGGGGAAACTGAATATCTCATAAGAGATATTAGGCAAGAAAAAGTAAGATAATTATTTCTCAGTCAAAAAGCAGAAGCAGGATTTTCTACTTAAAGCATCTAAGTAGTTTTCAAGACAATACTGAGAAAGTAATAACTTCCAAAATGGCAAAGTACTTCTAAAGCAGTTAGATATGTTCTGAGAGAGAGAAAAATATTTGCTGGGTCTTCTGACATTTAAGGATACTTACTAATCTAGGAATCAAGATCATAAAATCTGCATTTAGTATAATAAATAAAACCACCCTGCTTGATATTAAAAAAATACTAAGTTGAAGGGCAGAGGAAAAACTTTTATTTTCAAGGGTCAAATATATTTTAATACATTTAAGATAAACTACTAAAATACACATAGCCCCCAGCATGTAATTCTGACTCTTGCTGAGAGCACAGCAGAGACTGCCTGCCCTACAGCCGGCCACCTGGGTCAGTGTGAGCACTCCTGAGACAATCAGCAGTTAACTGCTGCATAAAAATCATAAGCCTTTGACCCTGATCAAGCCTTCAGGATGAAATATTCAAGTAGAATTATTTATGGTATCTAAGTACACACCAGTGCCTTTTTCTCCATAAACGTTTAGGGATTTTTCTTCCCCAGCCAGGCTAGCTTTGATCTGTTTGACTTGTTTTGCAGAACAAGTGCTAAGAGAACATATAAGAGACCCCTGGACATTAAAAACTGCCCCATTATGATTTTGGAAAGTAAAAAGTTACAAGGACAAAATACAAAGATAAAAGAGATTCTTAAGGAGCTAAAATCATATCTAGCTTTCTAAATACATGGTCTTTTTCTCTGAGCCTTATCTGGCTCAGAAAATGCTGAACTTCCAAAAAATTCCCATTTTTGTCTGCTTTGAGCTCACTTCAGGATACCTTTTGAATTCTTCAGCCTAACTGTTAATGTGACTTTCTGGTTTCAAGATGACAGTCACAAATACGTGAATACCAACATCTATCTATAAAAGTTCATCTTACTACTATAAACCAGAAAATTTATAGAACAGATTTGTACATACCAATACATCATCGTCACATGTCCAATCGCTTGGATTAGAGTCAAGTTTACTGACGCACACTATAAATCTGTCTGGAAACACACGCAGGTCTATACAAAAAGAATTGAAAAGAAGATTACAAAAATTATAGCCATATTCAAAACCATACATACTATCAACATATACAGATGCTATTTACAAACAGAATAATTGAGGTTTTAAAGTGCACACTAACCCACTTAATGCACTCCAGTAGTTTCTTACCTACTCTCTTCAGCATCTCATCCCTCCCTTTGCTTTGTTTTTTTAAACCATTACAAATAAAATACAGAAATCAGTAAGTCAGAGTAAGTTCAGTTCCCAAAAGGATGGTCATGGCTACAAATTACTCTACCTGCACCCCTGGCCAAATAGACCAGACAGAACCAACAGACAAAGCACTTAACTGATTTCTTTTGTGCTCTTCTGGAGATGAGTCCTTTCATTACAAAAGCTGTAAATTACGTTTCGAATACAACACAACATATTCAGCCAGGATCTGGCATAAAACCTCAGTGTAAGGCTAAGTGCTTCAAACTCTGACTCCAGTGAGTTTTGAACTCATTAAACAAATTGGTTAACTGCAACTGAATTACAGATTTTACTCAAGATCACATGGTTTGTTTTGAAAACAACAAAGCTTCTGGTTACAAAGGATCAAAAATTGAAGGGCTCTCAGAACAGACAGACAAATCTTTATTCGGGACATAGCAATGCTATGAAGAGAGCACAGCTGGGTATTTTGTTATTTTACAATTTGGATTATTTCCAGATTACTATCTTCATATTTTCAGCTCAGGGTTTTTTGCTGTTGGTTCTTGGTTTGATTTTACAAAAAGAGAGCTATTAATTTTTGAAGTTTGTTATATTTCAAAACCAAGCCATAATGCCCTATTTTCTGGGACAAGAAAGAGATGAGGCATACAGGAAAAAAAACATAAGGTTGACCTCATTTTTTGATGGAATATCTCCTCACAACAAATTGAGTATAGGCTTGATGTGCCAGCGATGATCAGGTGATCCATACAGGTGCCTGCCTCTCTACAAGGTATGCTTCTCCACCAAAAGCCTATCTCCATTAGTATCTGACAAACCCTTTTGAGTTTGTACCAGCAGTGACTTTTCTTGAGTCATTACAATGAAAGATGAGGATGCTGAAACATGCCACTGGCTGAAAAAACTTAAACAGAGGCCTGAAATGCATCCATATGGCACAACAGCTTGTTAAGCTACTATAACTTGATGATGAACACGAGCCTTTCGTAATCCTTTCAGAAATATCCACTCCGTTAGCAAAACTGTGTCCAAAACTACTCTATCTCTGTTTATATCCTCAAGACCTGAAAGGCCTAGTACAACGGATTTCAAACTGCAAGTAGTCTATGGACATCCTCCAAATGGGCTACAAAAGAAAAGATGGAAACTGTTGCAAGGAGTAAACTTACGTCTAATTCCACTAACAGCCCCATAGGTAAGTTAAGTTTACTTTAGATACTGAGTGCGCATCACCAATTAAGTATGCAGGATTCTTTCATTAGGCTCAACATCTGGGTTTTGTTTGTGAAGGACTAGGTGTTATCTTACAGAAAGGAAACACTGGTGCCAATTTATTTATTTATAGGATATGTGCTTATTTTTCTACTTATTGGGAGCAAAACTCAGCAAAATAAAGTTCTTTTCCTGTTAGGAACTTCATATGGAAGCAAAGTTTTGACTGCAGCATCAGAGCATCTCTTTTTGGCAGCACGTGTAGGGCAAGCTCATTCCTGTTGGGCATTTTTATTGTTACATTTTATAACAATCTCACTGGCTAAGAAAATGAAATGTCTTTGGGTATCCATTAGATTCAATTCGTAGGTTCAGAGAAGAAATTTGAGGAAATACTTTCAAATCACACTCACTTCAGCCAATAGGACTTAGAAAACAACTTGTTGGCATCTGAAGAGAGTTTTGAACATTTATGAATATAATGAATTCCTACCTAGATAAATCAGAAATTCTTTTAAAATATCTATTCAAGTATTCATTATTTTTAAGTGCACCTGATTTATTTTGCCTTTTTTTAATCAAAAGGTCAGCACACAGGGCAGTGATTGTTACAGGTCCTTTTTATTCCTGGTGGCAGGACAGGATTGATATCACTTCCTTACAGAGCATCCTGGCTTGAGAAAACATGAAGAAAAGATCTGGTCCAATGACATCACCTGTGTAAAGGTTTTATAGCAATGAGATGAATGAAAGCCTTTTCTTGCATACACTTGTATGGTACAGTTGATGTCACAAGACACTCGAGCAATAATGAAGTGATTCATACTGCAACCTCTGGTTGATTCACCCTGCAGAGACTCGGTAAAGTGCTGAGTCTCATCATACTTACAGAATTTGGTGTGGCTTAGCTGATCACCCTGGAGCAAGGCATACACAAATTTAAAATTAAGCTTGAAAAAAAAAAAAAAGGCCATCATATGTTAAAAAACTTTTTTTTTTTTTTTGTAGAAAACATCCCCTGAAAAAAACAACACATCAAAACCAAGCTCTGAAAGATATTTTGATTCAGGAGACCAAACTCTGACAAAGTATTAGTTTATGTTCCTTTTTTTCCTCTCATATATGCAGAATTCTAAGTAGCACTATAAGAAACTGATTTCTTACCACGATAACGTTTCCCTACAGCACAACGGAGATTAACCCATCTCTTCATAAAGTAGGCAGTAATGTGCAAACTGTTGGCTGCAACATAAAACAAAGGGATAATAATAAGTGTAAGGGTATCTTGGGCATTCTGGTCTCAAAGTGTTGCACATCTGCAAAGGGAGGATTGAGAGAAAGCAGCAGCTCAAGAACACAAAAGAAAATGTAAGTTTAAAAGATAATGTTTAAAAGAAACTGCTCATCCTTAAGTATCAAGAAATTAGTATCTGAAACAAGGGAAATATTTTAAAACATTATTAACTACCAAGGTTCTGGTATCCAATCACAAAAATAAATTATCATCAATTAACTGATCAGTAAAGCCATCTCCTTAACAGACTAATGTCATGGTCACTAGTTCAATAGAGTCCTATTCACTATGAGGTTTTCATACATACTCTACATGAACACTACAGATGACCATTTACTAACTGACTTCTAGAGAATGGTGACATATTCAAACCTGATAGACAAAAGTCCGTCCGTCCGTCCCCCGTCCCCCCCCTCCAATGAAATATCTTAATTATCTACAATTCCACGGAATTGAGAGATGCATACATTTAAAATCCACAGTATCTACAAGTAGACAGAGCTAGCCTGGCTCATCCAGCAGAGACCTGAAACACAGAGGCTTCTTCAGTTTCTGTTGAGAACGATATGCATAACATAAGAAAAGGACAGAAAGGGTCGTATTACAGCAAAGAGACTATTAGGCTACGGCTAAAGGAAATCGGCTTTTACTTTTGTTCTACTTAAATTCCCAAACGACCCTAAGTAAATCAGTAAGGACTTAATTCATAAAGGTATTTAGCAACCTAACTCCCACTGAAACTCAAAGAAGTTAGCATCTGTGACTCCTCCTCCACAATCCTTCTGGATGCCTCACTAAAATGAATGTGCAGAAGAGGGTTAGTGGTATTTCCCTTAACTCTGATGGGTTTTGCAAGACTTAAATTATTTCTGCTTCCAAGACAATCAGATACCCTACATGCAATTACCACAGAAAAGTTAGAAAATTAAGTGCTACTGCTGTTCTTCTGATTCAACGTTTAAAAAAGAAGGAAAGTCTGTTTGTCCCAACCTAAATTTCTACTTAGCTAGCACCAAGGCATGCCTTATTTCTAAGTATAAGCCCCAAAATTCATGTCCTCTCCTGAACAGGCTACAAAACTCCTACAAGACCTCTTGAAGCTTACCATCAAGTGCTGTTCAGCATCACCCCTCATTAAGAACTACAGTTATTGATCACAAGAATCCCTTTGAAATTTATCAGCCATCTTTTTTCTTTCCCCTCAGGAAGACATCTAAACTTTGACTTCCCTTTCGAGATCAAGTCAAGATGTGACAAGTTGAACCATCCTTTAAAAATGATGAGCACTGGAGAAAAATTTGGATGTAATCCACAAGCTTTATTAACTGTATATTTACGAGCACAATTAAAGAAAATGACTTTTAGCTATTTCCTGTTTGGCATCCACGATTCTTTAACATTGTGAGTAGGATGAGCCAAATCAAAGAACACATAAATAAGTTATTAGTGTGATAATAGCATCTTCCACCGTGACCCTCAGCAATGCTGAAAAAGTAACATTGCTAAAAGTACAACTTTGCAAACAAATCTTCAAACATTATATACAAGGAGTAAATACTAGAAGTCTTTCAACCTCCATTTGGCTAGGATATTCTAAATGTGTTTTTCTTGCGAGGAACTTAAAATGAAAAAGTGAATCTTTTGCTTTTCAAGGAAAAAGCATCATAATTCATTCCTGAAATTCTTGTGTGAATCAGTGACAGGTATATCTTATTTATTTTTCTTGCTACCTTGGTATTCTCTGAGAGGTTGAGTGTTTAATCATACCTGATTGACTAAGGGCCTGAACAAAGTTTCAGATTCCTCTTAAAGCTCTTGACTCAGCTGGCTACTGTTCTCTGGAAAAGAACATCTACCTCAAATCTAACCAAATTCCTACTTATGAAAGAGATTGAGACACCTCTACACTGCTTTTGCAGCGTCAGCTCAAGTCTGAAGTCTTATAAAGCCTTCCCAGGGAGCTGCACCTGAGCCAATAAGCTTGGCCCAGAGGGACTAACACTAGCTAGTTTCCATGGCTATTTATTACTTGACTTTGCTGGAAAAGCCTGAACAGATGATTTGCTGTTACTTACTGCTAACTGTGAGAAAGTTTTAAGATGCATTCAAGATACCAGTATCTTGAAAGTATCACACAGCAACGCTCATCAAATGTTATGAAAGCCTCTTGTATGTGACATCTGATCTAAACCATAGTCAGCTGGAGCTTGCAGAACTTCCCTAAAGTCGCCAGAGTTACTGCAGAACTATAAAAACTGTGATATCCTCTTTCTGCTTCCTTCGAGAGAAATATATGATCTGATTAACCATTCTGCTTCATGAAATAAGAAACTAAAAAATAAACCCCACAAAAAAAAACTTCTTATCTGAAAACCTCATGCAACTTGCAGCTTTTTGAACTTTCTACACAGTTACTCAGCATGAGTCTAAGTCTGCTCTCAGTTCCAGACTTGTCCACCATCAACGCTGTTTATATACCAGCATATACTAATGTTGGCTTTGGGCAAGCTGTGGATTATGCTCCAGGGAAGACAGCCACTGTATACTCAGCCAGGAGCAAAAGCTGCTGCTCATGATACCTGGAAGAAGAGACCAGCTGATACGCACTAAATGATCCATCATGAACTCCTTTTAAGCACAACACAGAAGTTTTAACCTTAAGCTACATACAGTGTTTTGCAGTCAGTAATGTAGTAAGAAAGTTCACAGACTGTAGGCTCAGCAAACCCAGATGGCCCAATCTTCAGTTTTCTTTTCATCATTCAATATAGATTACCAACACAGAAACAGAAATAAAACTGGTGATAGTGATTGGAGTTCTGTTTTTCTTACTTCAAAACTGTGCACCTAGATCACCAGATCCAGGTTCCAAAAACCAAACAAGAATAAAACAGAACACCAAGACAACAAAAAACCTCCAAACCCAACAAAATAGAGCTTGAAACCAAACATGTGACTGACTCAAAGTGATTCTAGAAAAGCCAGATTTCAGTTTCAATGAGCGATGCCTTTTAAGGGAATGGTAATTTGCCCTGCCTGTTATATTTCATAGTCCCACGACACCGACAGGAAGTATCAGACACTGACTCTTTACTGTAAGACTATCCAGCAACACTTGTTTTCCAAAGCAGTCAGAAGCCAAGCTGACTTGTGCTTCCAGAAGGCTGCCAAGAAGAGGCTGTGGTACAGTGTGGAGCAATGGGAAGCCCTCTCCCACGGCTATTAGGGACCATTCATCTGGGAGCCTGGGAAAATGCCTCTGAGGTGCTGAGTTATCTGGAGCAGCCTGGCAGGTGTTCCCTTCCCAGCACAATCTGGCACCTGCGTGGCTCTGCAACTCAATTCAGGCTTCTCCAAAGCCATAGTATGAGCTTAAGAAGGCCGACTGCCCCACAAACATTTCCATATCTGACAGGCACCTATTTCTCATCACTCAGTATTTTTAGATCATCTTTCTAAAAACACCTATTTTTTTCCCTCCCAGCCCAGACATTTCACATTTAGGACAGGTTGTTCTGGATTAGGCCTCTCTGTATGCTTGGAAACTAACAACAAAGTAAATCATTGCAACATAAAGATATTAAAAAAAAAAATAGGAGGATGAATTCCTTATGTTACAATGTGAAACTAAATACATAGGTGCATTAAACTTCTGAAACACTATACTGTACATTAAAAAAAGAAATCTACATTTTATTTATGCTAGATTAATTATTCCACACAGATTAAGCTGTGCTAGTAATAATGTTTACAGTATATAGAGCTTTTCATCTTCAAAGTGCTCTACAGACATATTATTACACTGCTTTTTACCAGTCATATTTCTCCACTTAGAATTATTCACTACTAAATCCAAATTCCTGATCGTTTGTAAACAAAACCCAGAAGGAACATTTTATTCCAAACCTCCTGCTAATGGTGCAGCTTTCCTTTCCCAAAACAAATGTTCATGTGCTCCAGAGCAGGCTGCCATCGCTAACTTAGGGGAGATTCAAACCAAATGCTGACATGAAAGTTTAGGTCCAAGTCAAGGATACACCAGCAGGGACAGCAGATACAAAAAGCTGTCAATGCTCCCTGAGCTTTTTCAGTGTTCAGAATGGGTACAGAATTTCTGTGTCAACTCAGAATGTCCTTGCCCCCCACCGAAAGTAAACTGTGTGGTTAATGACGAGAATCTTCATCCAGTGCAAGTTGTTACACCCCAAACAGCAGGGTTTGGAACAACTTCACCAGCTCAGGATGACATCCATTCTTTTCCATTCTTTCCATCCCTTCTGCCTTCAGTTCAAAGAACTGTTAAATTATTTTTTAACATTTTCATTATTTCAAGTGCTAATCACAAGCAAGTACACAGGAAAACATAAAATAAAGCCTAGAGAAAACAACAACAAAAGTTTAATAACTAAGATAAACAGTCAGGCCACTAAATTTATATACATCGAGTATGGACTGAACAAAAAAAGGGTCTAGTATTGAGTGAGTGAGTATTGCTGCAGGGTCTGATCTTGCAAACTCTTATACCTGCAAATAAATTCAGTGATGTAATTTGCCTCTGTCTTTTCCCAAGTGCCCTTTAGTCAGCTTAAACCAAGTATAGACAAAACCAGACTGCAGACTTTTTTCACCACCTTCTTTCATAATTTTATTAGTACTAGTGCTATTTTTCTACCTGCTAAATGTTCTGAACACAGGACAGTTGCCAAGACAAATAAGTGAGAGATCTGTCCCATCAAGGACCTGGGGACAAGATTTAGTTCCTCTCAGGGAGCAGGGGCTCTAACTGGAAAAAAAGATATTACCCTTTTAATGAATCTGATCAAGACAAGGATGAGATACACCTAGCAGAATGCTCTCTGCTATCAGAACCCTGATAGCTGGCTGTTGCACACTGTCTAAACCCTTTACAATACAAGCTGTTAACAGTGAAACTGGACTGAGCCGTTCT